CGTCTACTCGTGAGATTGCCAACTTCATCTCGCGCACCGCCGCTGCCTCTACCACTGGCAGCACTGCAACATCAGTGGTCAGCACAGTGGTCAGTGAGATGAACCAGAGAATGGCACAACTGTCGGTGCAACAGTCGGAACCCAAGAAGAACACTTTGGCAGTGGATTCTACACAGGTCATTCTTATGCCCATTGCAGTGCACGCCAACCTTAACAACAACCCCAACAACAATAGCGGCAACAGACCGGTGCGACCACCAGATTACGAGACAGCCATGAGACGACTTGAAATGCGACACAGTGATCAGCGCAACGGGTCAGGCTTTCCTCCTCCTCCTCTTCCTCCGCCTTCTTCGCGTCCGCTTTCTCCTCAGACGACAGTGGATCAGGGCATGCCTAAATTAGCTCGTCGAGTGTCCAGTGGAAGTTCAGNCTCCTCCTCCTCTTCCTCCGCCTTCTTCGCGTCCGCTTTCTCCTCAGACGACAGTGGATCAGGGCATGCCTAAATTAGCTCGTCGAGTGTCCAGTGGAAGTTCAGTGGTCGACTCTGTTGCTGCTGCCGTGTTTGCGAGTAAGCCGATGCGCCGCAAGAAGAAAGTTTCCTTTTCCGATCAGATCGAGTGGGTGGCCTGTGCTGGAGATGACCCTGAGGTGCACTTGCCCAATCCACTGCTGGAGAAGGTGCTCTCCAACAAGCACGTCGTCTACACTCTTCAGTAAGACAAACACCTCATGCTTTTGCAAGCTCACTGTCACCTCATCACCTTGCTTTTCACTCACTCATTCAGTCAGTCCTTACTCACTCACTTTAAACTTTTCTTACTCAGACCACGCCAGTATATGCTAGTTGTTGATTTTGCCATACTTCGATCTCCTTCTTGTTCATCACTGTTGTTGTTCATCACATCACAACTTTGCCACACATTTCATCTTGTTGTTATTTATTTATTGTTGCTTTTACTTTACCAATAAAAACAATTCAACGCTTTATACCGCTGGAAATCCCCTCCAAAAAGCAGTCAAATCGGACTAAGCATTTTTAAGCGCGCCGCGCGCGCCAATCTGGCGAGCAACTATTTTCACAGTCATGGCTGAAAATGACTAACGCGAGTGTCTCTCTGTTCCCTCACTTGCTCGTAAAGTGTAGCAGCCGCAGCTCTAAATCACTTCAAGCTTTGTCTCCAGGTAAGACCACGCTGTTGTTGATTTCCTCGCCGCCTGTCCCCGGCCAGACCTAGCTTCCTCGATCACTCCTTCCCTAAAGCCCACATCCTTCCACCATTCTCTGACATCCTCAAAAGAGTGCTCGCTTTTGTTTTCACTTCTTTCCCGTCTCTTCTCACTTTCACTACTCACACACGCCAGCTGTGTTTACGCACTTATTTCCACTTGTGATTTTTCTAAATCTCCATCGTTTTTCTTCCTCCGCAGTTTTAGTCGATCTCTCATTAACTTCTTTTAGCGAAACGATTAACCGTCTTTGTACGTTAAGCATTGGACTATCAGCATTAGCAAGAAATGGTCAGCGAAATGGAAGCGGTTAAAACTAACTCGGTTAACAACTCGGCTTATCTGGCCAGCCAAGTTACCCAGCATACTGCTCAAAGTGTGGGCGTAGAGTTTGTGCGTCAGTACTACACTATGCTTAACGTCGCTCCTGGCCTTCTCTACCGGTACGTCATTGTTTATCGAGAAAGAGAGAGAAAGAGCGAATTTGTTTGAAACCGTTTTTAACTTTTGACTTTTGTTTTGTGACTAGGTTCTACAGCGAAGACTCCACCTTTGTTCACGGTTGTCTGGACAAGCATGGTGAGGTGGTTCAGTGCGTTCGAGGACAGAAGCAGATCAACTCAAAGATTATGTCCTTGAACTTTAACAACTGCCACACCAAGATTCGTCAAGTCGACAGCGTGGAGACTATCAATTCCGGCGTTGTCATTCAGGTACTACCATTTTGTGCCAGCTTGTGCATTTCATTTTATTTACCGTTTCTAATTGTGTGTTTCCTAATAGGTTATTGGTGAACTTTCCAATAACGGTCAGCCTCTTCGACGATTTCTTCAGACTTTTGTGCTGACCCCACAAACTCCCAACAAATACTATGTGCGGAACGATATCTTCAGATACCATGACGAAGTGTTCGGCGAGGAGAATGAGCCTCCAGTCTTGGCTGACGTCACTGAGGCTAAAAATGAAAACCGCTCTGAGCCCGAAAACTTTAAGCAAGTCGAGCCGGCTGAAAAGGACTCCTTTTCTTACCAGTCTAATGGAACCTTAAACAGCAGCACTACCGCTGTTACTGACCACGTTGATACCGCGAATGAGTCGGCTGACTTGCCGGAAGACTTGGAACCGGCCAAGGAAAGCAACACGTCTGCTGAGGCCGTCAACACCAGCCTGGTGGTTGATGTCAGCACCGAATCGAAGGACGCCAACTCCGAAGAAGAGCAACTCGAACAGGTCTCGGGTGGTAGTGCTCATATCACTCATTCGAGCCCGCTTTTGAACGAGCCTAAAACTTATGCCTCAATGCTGAGCAAAAGTTTTCAGGCTGGGGGTGCTCCTCCTGCTTTGATTCCTGCACCCAGCAAACCAGCTGTCACTCCTGTGAGCTCTGTTGCCCCGGCAGTCCCTACCAGCTCGGCTCCCACTCTCAACAACGTGGACACCAACATCGTCATTGACGTAACAATGAACGTTACGGCTCCGCCCACTCTGGCTCCCAAAACTACTGGAAACTTCCCACCCCAACGTGATCGTTATATTAAGAAGACCTACAACAACGCCAATAACATGAACAACACCGCCAGCGCCAACACCAATAACCTCACAACCAACGTCAACATCAACAACAACAACAACAACAGGCGAAATGAGTCTCGCGAGAGCATCAAGAATGACAGCGACTCTGGTGAAGGTGACACCAGTTACAACTCTGTCCAATCAAAAAAGCCTTTTCCCGCTCCCGATGATCACCAGCTCTTTATCGGAAATCTATTGCCCAACTTTTCAGAAGAAGAATTGGCCGAAATCTTTGGTCGGTACGGCAAAATCGTCGACATCCGCATCAATCGACAGGTCTACAAAGGTAGCTCAAAAGCTCCCCGCAACTATGGATTTATTACCTTTGAAGATTCTACCGTGGTGGACCAGATTGTTGCCCAAAAGGTATGTAAAAGTGTGTAATACTGATTTGTTGCAGTTCTAATCTTTTTATCATTTTAGCCAATTTTCCACGGTAACCATCGCTACAATGTAGAAAAGAAACAAGGAAGAACTGTGTTCAATCGCGATGATCGCAACCGGGATGACAACCGAGTCCGCAACAATCAGCTCAACACTGGCAATCTTTCTCGCAATGGAAGCAACGTCTCCAACAATCCTTCCACCTTCCAACGCCATGGTCCGATGAACTCTGGAGGCCTTAACCAGGGCAACTATGTTCCGCGTGCCGATCGTCGCCCAGGTCAGGGATACCAAAATCAAGGCACTAGGACTTTTACCGGCGGCCAGAGTTACTCCAACCGTAACACATTTGCCAGTGGTGGTGGCGGTAGCCATCCTCCACAGAACCGTTAATTGAAAAAAATTATTGTTTTCTTGTAGCAACTCTGCTACTTTAAGGAAGCACTCTTGATTGTTTTTAAGAAAAATTAAATCTCGGCTGGATTCACCACTTTTATCTTCTTGTCTCCTCTCAAAGCTACCTTAGCCTAAATTAGTCAATTTCTTCGTGCCTCATTTCAACTTTTTGTACGATCTACATCATTTGCAGCGCTTTGCATGATCTATTTTCTCTGCAATTGTTTGTATTTTATCACCACCGTCTTCGCCGCCGCCGCCGCTGCTGCGGCGACTCGTCGTTTTTCTTTTATATTTCTTATAATCTTATTTTTCTAATTTCTCTTTTCAAAACCTATTTTTTCTGTTACAAATAGCAACCCATTTAGAAGCAAAATCTAAAGTTTGCCTGTGTTAATAACTTTTTCACTCTCTCTCTTTCTCTCTCTCTGAATGTACATACATTTTGTTGTATAACAATTTAAATTATTGATACTTTTCACCTTGATACTTAATTGTATACTTTTTCCATCATTCTTTTTTGTTTTTCCTTTTTGTTCTGTTTATACGCGAGTACAATACACTCTGTGTCGAACGATGATAGTGACGATGATGATTTGTTTGCTTGTTATCAAGAACATTCCCCACCTTGCAATGAACATTGTCTGATTGTGATGCATCAGCTTGGCAGTATCATCCAGTGGCAAAGACACACACTTTCAAATGTATCTGTAAATTATATACACTTGTAAAATTGAGTATATACAACGACTAAGAAGCAAATAAAATTAATCTCACTTGTCAGCTTGGTTGGTCAGTGATTTTGTTGTGGCTTTATAAGAAAAAACAAGATTGGCAATAGGAAAAGAAATGACAAGTGGAGAGACCAGATGGTGTGTAATACTTGGTCAGCAAAGGTAAAGTCCTCCAGAATAATAAGTAGTGATAAGAAGAGCAAACCATTCAGAAAAGTCAATTCATTCATTCATTCATTCATCTTTTTTATTGTACGTCTCACAAGTGGGTTGTTTCGCCTAAAGAAGAGCCAATGTCAGTCAATCGATGATTATGGTTACACAAGCTTTTGGGAACACGGCGGAGACACACCTTTGTTATTGTTACTATTATTGAGACGGCCATTGGAGGAGTAGGCAATGTTGCGTTCCGTTGGGTTATTCTCGAGATCAGATACTTCGTCTTCGCTTCCGGTGTACTCGTTTTCAGTTTCACTACTGGAAGTGTCTTCAAATGGGTGTGCCGCTATGTAGTGGTTCTCCTTTAAATGAAGTGGAGTCGCCTGACGTCTCATTTCTGTGTCCGCTGGAGCAAAGCCCAGAACAACCTGTTGTAGAACATTAAACGGCTAGTTATTATCTTTACAGTTGTTTTGTTCTAAATTTCCTAGTTTACTTACTTTAAACCCGCATGGAAATTTGCTGGACTTGTATGCTTTGTCAATCTTTGCTTTTGGCAATACTAGAAATAAATCTCTGAAAAAGGACAGCATAAAAAGGGTTAAAGCTTGCATCTGAAGCCGTATGTAAATCAAGGGACACTTACCTTTTGACAGGTTTCGAAAACTGAAGATCAGACACAGAAGAAGCAATTGAAGACTTTCCTTCGTGACAATTTAAGCTTGAAGTAGTGGAAGGAAGCGAGGCATTGTGAATTCCTGTATCGTTGGATGCATCTATAGGGGAGAGAGAGAAAGGGTTTGCTTTACATAACACAGTAGTGAGGCGATAAAAGGACTTACGTGGGCCATGCGATCTACTTGAATGATAATAAATGTCGGGCGGATTATTCGCTAGTGTACAATCACAGTGGTGGGAGGCTTCATCTCTGCTGGTGTAAAGAAGGTGGAGAAATGAAACATCGTCGTTGATCACAGATGCGTCGTCTTGTGGAGGCGCCTGAGGGTCGCCGCCTGCAGTGCTGGAGGTCTCTTCGTCGATCTGTTTGCTACTACCACTACTACTACTTCCACCATTACTATTACTGCCACTGCCGGAGACGACGGTGGTCATCTTGCCATCGCAGCGTGAGCACGTCTCGCTGACCACCGTGGACAGGTCAGTGCCGTACTCGACGAAGAAGGTGTTCAGGCAGGCGTGAAACACCTTGGTCGCCGTGCCGATGGCGTTCTTCAGCAGGAAGACAAAGCGGACGTCGCCGGCCAGGCGGAGACTGTTCGCCAGGTTGAAGACGGCATGTCTGGCGTTTCTCTTTGACTCGATGTTGAAGGAGCCGACCAGTGTCCACTCGGTTGACTTTGGTACCATTTCGTAGACCTTGCAGATGAGCGTGTAGGAGCCGCCGCCGTTGTAGGCGGGGACCGAGGTGAGGAGGATGGAGGTCAGGTTGAGAGGGACGGAGGAGTACTCCAGCTTGCGCTTGACTAGTTCCTCGTAGTAGAAGACGTAGCGCTTCTGCGAGGGGATGGTCACGCCCTTCAAGTCTCGCGTTCGGTACCTGGCGTAGTACTCCAGCGCCTCCTTCGCATTGGGGATCACCTGGTAGACGCCGTCGGCGTCCTCGAAGCCGCCCTTGTGGACCAGGTAGGCGCAGATCATGACGCCGGTGCGTCCCTTGCCGGCCTTGCAGTGGATGCCCGCCACGTTCTGCTGGTCGGCGTTCAGCCACTCGCTCAGCTCCTCGCAGAAGGGCTTCAGTATTGAGAAGGGCGGTGGATTGTGATCCTTAAATGAGTATTCAACATTGACTTGACCGTGAAACTTGGTCGTGTCGTAGCATCGCTTCGACTCGGAGCAGAGGTTGTAAATTCGGTAGTGATCCTCGTGTTTCGAGTCAAACAGGCGGACGACGTCCTGAATGTGGTTGCGGTAGAAGCGCTCTATGCTCTCCGCGGGGAAGCCCATAGCGATGATTTGTTTCGATATATCTAAAAGGGAGTGGATTAGTTGGCAAATTGTGGAAACCAGAAAGAGTGGGTGGGCAGACTTACAGGAGAGATCAAGATCAAAGCCATCTTCCTTGTACCTGATTTTGTTTTTGCTAACCATTCCCTTAATAGCCGAAGACATTGTTGTAAATACAAACATTAGCTTGACAGCGGAGAATGAATATCTGAAAGGTAGAAAGCAGAGGCGTCCATTAATATAGATGTCACATTTTTAATTCAACTGGCGCAACTGGCAAAACGGCAAGCAGGCAAGTGTAATCGGGAACAGCACTTCAGCGCTGATAAGAGAGGAAGTTGGATATCAAAATTTAAAGCGGATTTGAATGTCACCTCTCCACGCACACTGCGAAAGGAAATTACTAGCGAGGCGCAGAGAGGAAAGGGAGGAGGAGAAGAAGGCCACAGGCAATTCTCGCGACAAGTGGGATCCACTTGAACTGAACTGGCCGATAGCTGCCTGCCACCGATTCGCTGGTGTATATCCGCTGCTGACAGATTGTGGACAGTGTATTGACGTAGTTGCAGTATTCCCTAGAGCACACTGGACACTTACTGGAAGGGAGAGGAGGAGGAGGAGGCCTGCAGCAGCAGTCGAGTCAAAAAGTGGCGATTTTAAAGTGCAAACACCACTTGACTTGGTCATTTGAAGCTGGTGATCGCTCGAGGTAATATGTACAAGAACAGTGGCTAGCTAGTACTACAAGTTGCAGTACGGTCGCGGTGGCATCCTCTCTTCTCGGTGGGTTTCGCCGATCTCTGCCTCCTCTCTGGCAGGGCAAAGGCCAACCGAGAAGGGTGGCACAGACACCTGGCGGAGGACAAGCAGCGCCGGGACCAGTGCTGCCGACGGTGGTGGTGGTGGTGATGGGGGTGATGGGGATGGCTGGCAAGGCTGCACGAGGCTGACAGAGGAGGACGTATGGTGAGAGAGAGAGAGAGAGCAAGGCAGTAAGGCAGATGGTGAAGAGTGATGGTCAGACGGTGCTTATCGGCAGTGTCGATGGCAAGTGCTTGCACTGTACACAATGGTCAAAGTTTAAAATGCTGTCGCCTGTGTTGGTGTGATCCTGCACTGGTAGCACAAGCACTGGTGGCGAGAACAAGATGCTGAAGCAAGCTGAGAAGAGCACAAGACCACCACCACCACCACCACCACCACCACCACCGCCGCGACCACCAACACGACCACTGTGCAGACGCACTGCCAACTGATGGTGCTCTCGTGGCGTCCCTTCGGCAGTGCCACTGCCTCGGCGCCAACCACGGACACCAATTACTCTCCTTCAATACACCGTCAGGCCTCTTCACAATTCTGGCCGAGTGAGAGATGACATTTAGATAGACTTTAGATTGACGGTATTGCACATCCCCTATCCATCGGACGATGGGAGCAGAGCAGAGAGGGGAAGAGGTGCCACACTATGCAAACACTGCAAACCAATTCAAAAGCTGATCACCCCTGGGTTCACCGCTAAGCAGGCACCGCATGCACAGGGCAGCCACTGTGGGCAAAGGTGGGACGTTCTGAAGTGAGAGTAAATAAGTGCTGGCAGCAAATAAACCCCCATTAAACTAATGACCTGGTAACTGGTGGGCGATTTTGGAGTGCTAATGAAACGACAGTGGCAGTGGCAGACTGCCACCCGTCATCGTCGCCCCCGAAGACTGTAATCAGAAGACGGCCAATTCCGATCAGTGGCGCTTCCATGGAAAGCGTCCTTCTGGCGTCGGCCAAGTCTGCTACTGTGGAGCTGCTCTCCAGCGGACACTGCTGGCGCCCGGGACGGTAACTGTGTCAGTGAGATGAAGCCTGTTTGGGCAAGCCGCCGCCGCAGAGACGACCTTTCCACCCGGGAGCCACATCGCTCATATCATCATCATCATCATCATCATCATCATCACTTGCTAATTAAGATGCGCCACTTGACTGTCTCTTTCCTTTCTTTCCCGGTGTGGACGATGCCTCCTCACCACTTGCACTGACACTCTAGTCCCGCCCCCTTTTCATACACCTGTTCGGTCCATTTGGGTGTTCGCAAAGAGGGAGAAAAGTACTGCTGCAGTTGGACTGAGATGTGCTGAGCCGATACCAATG